AGTAAGTCAATAAGACCTCTCGGGATGTCATAAGATCAATATGCCTTCGGTTAATATCACGAAATAAACTTTATCAACTTACGTATTTCCTGAGACCCATGAACAGACGATATAATAATAGGACATATAGGGAATCAAGACCATAGGCAACCCTAGTACTTATAAGAATAGAGTCATTTATGAGCATCGTGCGTTTGCTCGTTTCGTTTGTATCATATGGATCATGCCAAAAGGAAAGAAGGGATAGCCTTAACATACCTTATAGAAATTTGTCCAACAAAAATGCTAAACTGAGCTCACTACAACTTAATTTACAACAATGACAGTGAAGCTAATGTCAAGTTACGAATGACTCTCTCATTTATATGACGAAAGTAACTTAATCTGTAACAAAAAAAATGGGCAACATTTTTCCTTGAATTTACTGCTCTCTCAAGCCTACTATAGGCGAGACAACAACACAATACAATCAGCAACTCAAAAATAACCTAGCTACAATTCGGGACCTTTAATACAACAAAAACCCAAATATACCATAACATACTCAATCAACAAGTTATCAATTAGCCTGAAATTGCAACGACGAGTGACCAGCCCATTACCCTTCCAGACGTGACATTTCTCCACACCATTTTATCCTTCCAAACTCCATAAATCATCAGCACAATAGGCCAACACGAGTGGGCTATAAAATAGTCTACTAAAAGTGGAATAAATCGAACTCACGACTTCCGATTACTGTCCTGTGAGCTCTAACTATTAGGAAACTAATTTATCAACCTTTCTTGATATTTAAAAACTTAAATACAAAAATTAGGCATTTTCTTAACTGTGAAGTACCTTCCAAAACTCAACTACAAAGAAATAAAGAGGGAGAATAATGATACTTATGTCATAGGGATCGTTCTAATGTTTCGCTTCTTGATTTCGTACTCGGGATGTTAATCCTTTCTGAAACCCTTGTAGAAAGCTTAAGAGTAAGTTTATGGTCTTATTTTGGTCGTGGTATATGGAAAAATGAAGAAAGAGACGACATAAGGCATATATATATATATATATATATATATATATAT